TTTCCCTCCTCAGACTAAGGGAAATTCTAGCTTGTGCTGTCTCATACACTCAGTAATCTCCTGGTAATTAACTCTTACCTTGTTGCGTCTTTTTATAGCAAACTCATCACGTAGGCTCGTTTCAACTTCTTGACTGTTCGATTCATCTCCAAGTTGTCGACTATCCAGCCCTCTCCATTCATCTCCCATTTGCTTGACTCCTCGCTTTTGCTTCTTCAGTTTTTTCGTTCTCTCTCCCATGGTTACAGAAATGGGATATTACAATTCGGTTGTAACTCCTCCATGGTAGTGATCTTCTCCAATGGTTTGAGAAATGCTTTGGTTGTAATTCAATCCTGCGATGATACTTATCTTTCCCAATTCCCCTCCCTTATCTGCTGCCGCTACCTTTAGTGCCCTATCTGTAATAATAGAAAGTTAAAATAATCATAATAATAATAATAAACCGACACGTCCCTTTGGTTATAATATAACCGTTGCAGCCCATATTCGATCAAATCAAACATAACAAGTGAGGAAGAGGAAAGGAAGCTGCATAGGAGAATGAAGAAGTTGCGCTACTGTATAACGTCGTTCCCTAGACAAGGAAGGAGAAATCGAAAAGAAGAAGGAGAAGGAAAGTGGTCGAGTGACATCAAAGACTTACCTGGACCGTGTCGCGATCGAGGAGAGGTCGACGTTGTGTGCTGCTTAGGGAAGTGGGGGAAGAATAAAATTGTGTGTCCCATCTGCATCGAGACTGACGTCTCCTGCATGCTGCTTGTGCAGAGGAAGGAGATTATGCGATCGGTCTGTGGGAATGAGTCGAGACTAAAGGTGAATAGAAATATGAGTCGAATTTTTTGGGGCTTTGTTGGAGTACAGGAAAACGAGGAGAAAGAACTTCAAAGTCGGCGAGGCAATTGGTCTTGTGCATAGGAAAGGAAGGGGTTATATGCCCGTGTTTTGTTGGGGTGAGACAGGACCGAAGGAAGAAGAACTCATGCAATCAAGCTGAGACTGAAAGGAGGAACGAGTGAGTTCGCGCGCGAGATAGGACAAAGGCCGAAAGTCATATAAGGTTTATTTAATATTTTTATAAGTTAATTAATGTGTTAGTATGTATAAATTTTATATGTGTGTGAGTGATCCATTTCTAATATCTGAATTTCTAGTTATAATTATAATGAATGTAAAAGAAATGTATTTTCGTTTCTGAACTCCTCACCAGAAATTGGTCTAATAGATTTTTCCCTTTCTGTAAGAACAGATATTTTGCAATATGATTGGATCTGTAAACTCCAACTCCAAAATGATTGAGCATTACAGGAAGAAATATCTTCCAGTGAGAAGAATGGGTCTGTTTCATGGTTGTTTCATTTACTTACATGAAATGCCTTTTAGGTAACATTCCCTGCCATTTTGATTTTCATTGTATACAATGAATTCTTAAGTTATGTCTAGTTTTAATATTTCTACCAAGCTAAATGTAAAATCTCTTTCTGTTGAAGGAATACCGAGTTCAAAGTAATATCAGAGCTGGCCATGAGAAGGATGAAACTTGAAATTGCAATGCATGGGGGCAATGTTTGTGACGATATGGAACCTGCGACACATTTATTAGTCTATTCAGTGGTTGGATCACATGACTTTGATGAGATATATGAAAGGTATTGATCTATATTTTAGTAAGCTATGTGTAATTTTAATAGGGGCATGTACATAAGTGCCTCCCAATTCCTATGCATTTGCATATCTATTACCTAAACTTTGCTTTTATATTTATCCTATCCAAATATTGCATATGCATCAAAAACACCACCATTGTAACTTTTAAAAGGTGAAACACGTCTTTTCAAGCATATTTGAGGTGGTATTTATGTAAATATTGAAGTTTAGGTGTTAGGTATGTAAATACATGGGAGCTTAGTGGTATTCATGTAAACCTTCCATTTTAATATAACTTCAAAAGAAATATTTGTTTTTGTTATATTGTGGTCATTTCCTCGAACAATTTAAAATGAAATAAATTTATGTGAAAACTGTTGGGTGGTGGCTTTTGGCTTTATCCTCCTGGACTTCAGGTTGGGGCAATGGCTTTTACCTATGTACATTGGCTTAATCAGCTTTAAAGGTTTAAAATGAAAAAATGCAAAACAATGTATTCATAAAAAAAGGATAATTTGCAAAGATGAGATTTAGTCAAGCTAAAATCAAATGGGCATTAAAATAAAAAGAAATATTAGAAAGAGAGCATACTATCACATGGGCTGAAATAAATTAACTTCAAAAGAAATATTTGTTTTTGTTATATTGTGGTCATTTCCTTGAACAATTTAATTTATTATTGCAAGCTACCAAACTAATTTCGAGTATACGAGTAAATTTGAAGAGATTTTGCTACGATATAAGATCATTAAAAGTCATAAAAAAATCTATAAATTATAACTTGATTTGCTTGATAAGTATTAAATGCAAAATTTTGAGATGAATTTGTTGAAGCCCGACAGATTTATTGGAAATACTTACGTTTATTCTCATTGGAAGCATCACATGATGCAAAGATATGTTTATAGTTTACTTTTTTTCTTTTAGAAGTTGGTTTATTTTGTTTGTTATTTATATAATTTGCTAGAGGTGCACTAATGGGAGTTCTTCTTCAATTATCTTGTAGCTTTGAAAGTGAAATGTAATTTGAAAAGCTTATGGACTTAGGGTTCATATTGGACAATTGACTATGAATAGGAATTTTGGGAATTTTCAAATTATGGTTGGAAATTATTTTGGATTTTAATTTAATCATGGCTTAATTTAATCTTATGTCAATCATATCTACCAGCCTTGATCTATTTTTACAAATTTAGACTTTCAGATAGTATGAAAGGTAACAATTAGCATCTACAAATCGTGTATTAATATGTTATAATGATGAAAAAAAAATAATATGGTTTTACAACCATTAAATATACACTAGTGCAATTAAAAAATATGAACAAGAAAATCATTTTAGTGCAAGGTTGATCATGAAACATTGGCCATAAGAAGATAGAGAGAAAAAAATGATCATAGAAAAAATATTATAAAAATACTATAAATATGATAGATCAACATCATTCAATGTGCTAAAAAAATGTCATGGGAAAGTATATGAAATGATATTTAATCTTACAAAATTTAAATGTGCTCTTTCTAGGCGCTTGATGCATAACAAGAGGTGTTTTCTTTATAAAAACCACTAGGGATGAAGAAAGTTGCTTGTGAAGAATCTTATGATTCTGTGATTTTCTTGTTATTGCAGTTCTATTAATGTAAAATCTTTTGCAATTTACATGTTCTTAGCCGCGTGAATAATTAAATGTGTAATTTGCTTTATTCTTTTATGATTTTCACAGCATTCCATCAACTCAGCGCCATCTTTTACACCAGAGAAAGTTTAAAACGCTTCTGGATCTGCCCCACCTCATACTTGTTTTTCCTCTGCTCCTAAGTGCATTTTACAGACTATTGAAACACCGGTTCGCACGATGCCACCTCCCCCTCCCACTACCGCAGACAAAACTGTCTCTAATCTTTCGACTGATATATTGGCAGATGGTTTACTTGGGTCTGATAATCAGGATAGTATTGAAGCTCTACAACCCCGGGATGCATCAGGTGTTGAAGAGACGTGCTTACCACCTCTTTAGAATCAGAATGTTGTTACTGCTAGTCAGGAGCTGGGGGTTCATTCTCTCCTACATGCCCAACAATCTGTTGACCACACCGATCAGATGAGCCAGTTCTCAATGAAGAATGACAGGTATACACATCTAGAAAGAAAAAGAAGAATGGAGGCACACCCCAGCTTGGGAACTTAATGGATGATACTCTAGTAACTTCGGGTAATGGAACGACACTTTTGTTTTTTTTATGTTTTATCTATGTTTCATCCTTTTAGGATGCTAGTGTCTGATTTATCGTATGGGTAGCGCACCTTTTTTTGGGTCCTATCATACAACCTCTATGTATCTTTTCAATTTCAATAAAATTAGCTCTTGGACGTTTATAATATATATATATATA